TGTCATCAGGGAGGGTAGGAAGACAGAACCCAGAAGTGGAAACACATCCAGCCATGCCTGAAGCAGTATACCTCCTGGGCTTCTCCGTCACATACGGCAATGAATTCCAGTTTTTGTGTAAGCCCCTTTGAGTTGGGTTCCTGTCATTTGTCATGGAAGTGGTACTAATCCAGGAAATAAAGTGAGAAGGAAGGGGACTACTTTGTCTAATGAGGTAATCACAAAAATGCGATAGCCCTTGTTATGGACTGAATTGTGTCCCCTTCCCCAAATCCATTTGTTAAAGCCCTAAATTCCCATGTTGAAGACCCCCAGTGTGACAGTATTTGGAGACAGGGCCTGTGAAGAGGTAATTAGGTCTTTAGGAGAAACCAAACCTATGCACCTTGATCTTGGACTTCCAGCCTCCAGATCTGTCAGAAAACATTTCTGTTTAAATCTCCTAGTCCACTATTTTGTTATAGCCGCCTGAGCAGACTAATACCAACCTCACTTCACAGATAAGGAAACACACTTCTGGCCAAACTCACACAGCCTCAGGTCTGCCCGATGCTCCACAGGCCACCCCAGTCCCTGCACACCAGACCCGAGAGGCCTCCGGTAGGAAACAACCAATCTCTTTATTTACAAGTGATTTACAGTTAGAAAGCCCGGGCGGGAGGTGGGGGCAGGCTGGGGCACGGGGTGGCCCTTGGGCTCCAGCTGGTCACTTGTCCGCACGGACAAAGGAGGCGAAGACACTGTCCTTCTGGCTGAGCAGCTTCTCTGGCTTGTCGAACTCAAGGATGGCGCCACGTTTCAGGACAATCACCAGGTCTGCACTCAGGATGGTGTGCACACGGTGCTGGGTGGGGCGGGGGAGGCGGGGTTTGATCAGGGTGGTGGGGGGGAGGGAGGGGCAGCTGAGGGTGTCTCTTCTGCAGTTTGGGGGAGGAGGCATGTGGATGGAATGTCCCATCTCTGTGGCCACTGCCCTTTCCTGGGGTGGCTGTGACCCCAAGCGCTCTGTCCGCTAATGACACCCTCTCCCCTTACCAAGTCTCGGCTCTGCCCTCACCTCTGGGCTTCAAGACTCACAGCCCAACCCCCGCTTCCTAGAGAGAAGGTATCCTAGCCTAGCTCCCGGGGGGCCTTAGGACAGGGGTGGGCCTTGGAACCTGGAGAAAGAGAGAGGGATCTGAGGGAAGAGCAGGTGTAAGTCCGCCCACACCCCATGTCCTGCGGTCCAGGTTCCCTGCAAGCCCTCCAGACTCTGCATCATTGCTCCAGGGGCCTCTCCTGTTTACCAGGCCTGGGTAAGTCTGCTGGCTGCCCTCTCTCTGGGTGTTGCCCCGCACCCCAGCAAGGGGCCCCTTACCGCGATGGTGACCACGGTGCGGTCTGCGAAGGCTGTCATCACCACCTTCTGGAGGATGTTTTCCTGCCGGGTGGGAGCAGCAGTGGTTGGCTCTTCTGCCTAGTGGATGGGGTCTGGCCTGGCTTTGGGGATGTGGGGCCCAGGTCTGCGGTCCAGCTCCCAAGTGACCCCAATCCTAGCCCACCCCCCCCTCCGTCTGTCTGGTCCTTGCCCCCATAGGACCAACCAAGTTCTAGCATTCAGGGGCGGGGCTCAGCGTGTTGGGGGCTCAGCTCTATGCACGTGTGTGTGTTGTGAGTGGGTCTGGCTGGGCTGTGTGGCGGGTGATGAGTGTGAAGTCCCTCTGGGTCTGTGTGCAGCTTGTGTGTTTGTGAGCTACAAACATGCCCTGAAACTAGCTCGAGTCAGGGTCCCTCCAGTCCTTTGCCTTTTCTGCCACAAATGGCCCTTGATGTTAAAGACAACTCGAGCTTCGGGACCACTTTGTGCAAATTTCACCCCAAGACCCCATGACAACCCTCTCCAAGACCCCACCCCACGGCTGCGCTCCGGACCGACCGTGGCCATGTCGATGGAGGCCGTGGCTTCGTCCATGATGAAGATGCTGGTCTTCCTCACAAAGGCCCGAGCCAGACAGAACAGTTGCCTCTGGCCCTGACTGAAATTCTCCCCTCCTTCCGTGATGATGGCATCTGAAAACAGCCCCGGGGAGGAGGAGCAGGGCTGAGGTAGTCTGGCTTTGGGAGTTTAGTAGATAGCAGGGCTTAGGGGGTGTTAGGAAATGTATGTACAGGGCCGAATATGCAGGCGTGGGTCATGAGGCCGGGGGTGTGCAGGGCTGCTGCACCTCGCCCCACGACGCAGGTGCCACCTGCGTGAATTACAGAGAGGAGCACCCTCTGCAGGGGTGCGCTGCCCTGGCCCCCGGAGGCCCCAGGAGGCTCCGGGAGGCTCCGGGAGGGGGGCGTGTGCACTGAGCATGTAGGTGCTTGAGATGTGTGTGGGCACTGGTGGGGCGAGTGTCTGAAGCTAAGGCTTGGCCGGCCCCCACTGCCCCAGAGGCTGTAGCAAACACACCAAGGCTCTGCAGCCCTCTGGGCTGGGGGGCAGAGTCTTCCCTGCACCCCGGAGGCCTGACCCGTCTGTCCTCTCCTTCCTCGGGGCAGAGCTGGGCGGGTCACTGGCCGGGGTGGGCAGGGCCGAATGCACTGTGGTGGGATGATGGATGGACTCCCACAGCGACTCCCGCTGTCCCCCCTCCCCCTGGGTCCCTGGGGGCGGGGCTGGAGCTGGCCTGAATTGACCAGTCGTGTGGCCTGGGACAACCCACGTGACCTCTCTGAGCTCCCGTAAGGTAAAAGGGGACCCGGAATGGTCTCTGGGGTCCTGCCAGACCCTAGGCTAAAGCCAGGGCAGACCCCAGAGCCGGGTGTGCCCTTCCAGACGGCCTCTGGCCCGGCCCGCGGCTCCCGCGGGAGTTACCCAGGCCGCCCGGCAGCGCCTTCACCACCAGCTTCAGCTGGGCGATCTCCAGCGCCTCCCACAGCGTGCTGTCCGAGCACTTCTTCTCCGGGTCCAGGTTAAATCTGGAGGGTGCCACAGAAAGTCGTCTCAGGGAGGGAAGCCGGGTGCTGGCTCGTCCCCGGGGACTGGCCGAGGGCGAGGCTGGGGAACGGAGCGGTGAGAGAACTGGTTGCCGGGGGGGCCTGGCTGGCCGAGGGGGCAGCCAGCTGGTGAGCGGGTTGGGGGAAGCTGCCCCCCGGCAGAGCTGCTGGGGCTACCTCACAGGGCCCCCCGGGGGAGAGAAAGGCGCGAGGCTGGAAGTGTGAGGCTCCAGGCCGGCCCACAGTGCCCAGAGCCTGAGCAGGGCTGCCTGCCCCGGGAGGGGTACCCAGCAGAGCACTCCGGGCCTCGCCCACCCCTCCCCTCCTCATGCCCCAGCTGCAAGGCGCCGGGCCTGGGACGGGGAGGGGGGCCCCGCAGGAGCGGTGGGGCTCACCGGATGGTGCCGCTGAAGAGGACGGGGTCCTGCAGGATGATGGAGAGGCGTGAGCGCAGGGTATGCAGGGGCAGTTTGGCGATGTCAATGCCGTCGATGATGATGTGCCCTGTGTGGAGACAGGGGCACGGGTGGGGCACCAGGGAGCGGGGGAGCTGGTGGTGCCGGGGACAGGTTCAGCCTGGGAACGTGGGTCCCAACGAGGATGCAGGGGGAGGCAGTGATGGCTGGGCCTCCTATGACATCTGACCATACACCGGGACTGAGGTCCCATCTGGTGGCTGTGGGTACACGGGGGGCGCCTGTCACACCACTCACCTTCGAACATGTCCACCATGCGGAAGAAGGCGAGCGAGAAGGAGGACTTCCCACTGCCTGTACGGCCACAGATCCCAATCTGGAGAGAGGAGCAGGTACTGAGTACCTGGGGAAGCTTCTGGTGCTAGCTCTGGGCTATGCGGGCACTGGAGGGCACAGCATCTCTTGTTCTGCCTTTCTGACCAGCTTCTATTTGGCCAGGGCTGGGCCCCGGCTTTGGGCTTGCTTCCTGGGTTCAGGGGGGCCTCCCACAGGGACCCGCAAGCAAGTACGGGGCGTAGATGTGCATCTCCTGGGCCTGGGTGTAGGTCTTGCCATGCCTGGTATGTGGCTGCAGGGGAGTTGGGGCCCTGGTGCACCGTGTATGTGCGTGGGTGTGGGAGGAGGGCCGGGGGGCGGCTCCGTGCGGTCTGCAGCGACGTATCTGTGTGCCCCACCTTACACTGGGGTCACCTCTGACCCCATTCCTTCCCGGCCCATGGGTACCAACAGAAAGGACAATAAGGGACCAGTACAAAGACAGAGATGGTGACACAGAAGGACGGGAGAGGTAGGGACAGATGGGAGGGCCAGAGGCAGGGACAGAGGTACATCTGAAGGTCAGAGAGAATGAGACGGACAGCCAGAGACAGAGAGACAGAGCCTAAGAGACAGAAGGGGGGCAGTGTCAGAGCAGAGGGGGCGCGAGGAGGGAATCCATCAGACAGTTGAGTCAGAGTGCCAGACAAGTGCGGCCTCACTCTCTGTCCCGAGGACCTGCTCTGAAGCTCAGGGGGCCCCTGACAAAGCCCTCTCAGCCAGGGGAGTCTGGGGTGTCCATCTCCTTGGTGGGTGAGTGAGGGCAGCAGAAGGAGCAGGGGAGTGGGAGTGGGGGAGAGGTGGGCTGAGCCTCGTCAGTGTGAGGAGCCCAGGGCCAGCACCTGGGGGGGTCTGACTAGTTGGGAGCCCTGGAAGGCCCCGGGGGGCCGTGAGCTGACTCTGCCATGGGCCAGCCCTCTGCCCTGCCGCCCACTGACCTTCTGTCCTGGGGAGATGAGAGCGTTGACATGCTTCAGCACTGGCTTCAGAGAGCTGTCATAACGCACACTTAGGTTCTGGATCTGGATCTTCCCTTGGTCTGGCCAGTTCTTCGGGATGAGTGAGGGTGCTGGGGGCCAGACCGGGGCTCAGCCAGCAGATACAGGCGCCGCTGGAATCCAGGAGGGCCCCCCTCCCCCCGACGTGCCCCTCGGCCGGGCCTCTCACCCAGCAGCCCCTCGTAGCTCTCCGCTTCGGTTTTCAGGAGCCCATGGATGCGCTTCACAGCCCCCAGCTGGATCTCCATGTCCGCCAGGTTCCTCACCATCCAGTTGAGGTAGTTGGAGACCTGCGGGGAGTCAGTGAGCACTTGGTCCAACCCCAGCCACCAGGAGGGCTCTTCTTACAGCTGAGGGGCCAGGGGCCCTCAGTGTCTTCTGCTGCTATTCAGGGGGGTCCTCCCTGGAGGCATGGGAGGGTTACAATGAACGTGCATCCTTACCCACCACCTGTCTGGGGCCCCGGCCCTGGGTTAGCCCCCCTACCCACATGGTCCCTCCCACATCAGACTCACGGTAGCTTGGGGTAGGGCCTGGAGGGTGTCTCCGAGATTCCCTGAGGGCTGGTATCTGAGCCCTCCCCTGCCCCAGTCTGCTGTCACTCACCATTAGGGCATAGGTAAGGCCCAGGCCCACCAGGCCAGCAGAGAGCTCCCTGTGCAGGGAGTTGGAGATGGAGGTCACGGCCGCGATGAGGACCACACAGGCACCGATGTACTCCTGTGGAGGGAGGTGAGCCCGTGTGGGCCCTCCGGGGTCGAAACCACAGGGCCCCCCCAACCCACCTCACTCCCTCCAGCTCAGCAGACACTCTACCCCAGCCCAGCCAACACACCTACACATCATCAGACACGCAGGAGGCCTTGAAGGCCGGAGCCCCGGGAGACAACGTGTGCACCCAGCTTCTGCCCCAACCCCAGCCGTCTGCACAGGCCTGAACGCGCCTCACCAGCTGGCCCACGCGGGTCATGTGGCCCACTTCAGACACACACTCGTCACAGTGAAACACACAGCTCTTCCGGCTACTGGTGCGCACCTCAGGTGCACAACCCCCGGGCAGGGATGGGGAAGAGCAGGCTCGGGTCAGACCCAGGGAGGGCCTCCAGGGCTGGGGGGAGAGGAGGGCTCAGCTCCCGCCCTGTGTGCACACACGGGCTGCTATTCCATCCTCTCTTCCCACCCTCTGGCCCATGTTTGGCCCTTGCTCTGGCTCCACACCCCTATCAGAAGCCCCTGTCTCAGGGCCCGGGGTGGGGCGTGGGTGGCACTTGCCATGCGGACTTCTAGCCATCTGTTGGCAGCCGTGAGGAAGAGGGAGGCAATGTTGTTGGAGTCTGTGTATTCGAGGAGCTTCTGCTGGAACCTAGCCTCATACCTGGAGGGCGGATGGGGAGGGTCTGAGGGTCCACATGACCCCCAGGCCTCTCCTTACCTACAGAGAAGCAGCCAGTAAACATGCTGTGTCTGACGTTATGTATGCCATTCCTCTCCAGACGGCCCTCCCAGCTCCCTGCTACTTTATTCAAACTTGTCAAGACTCCCACCTCCTTCAAACTCCTGCTTTCACCCCAAGACCCATTCTTCTCTTCAGGGTCTAGCTATTACAGTAAAGCGCACTTCTGCCCACCTAGATGCTCAGGCCAGAAACCAAGAAATCATCTGGATTCACAGCCAATCCCTCTACAAGACCTCTTATTTCTACCTCCAAAATAGTCCTTGCTTCTGCCTGCCTCTCGCCTGGGCTACTGCGTCAGCTTCCCCATAGGTCTACCTGCTGTCTTCCCACAGCAGCCGGCATAATCTTTGTAAATCATAAATTACATCCCATCTCTCTCCTGTTTGGAATGTCAATGGTTTTGAGGCTAAAGAACCACCTCCTTGCCAGGAGCCTGAGTGAGCTGGCTCCTGCCAACCTAGCCTCCTTCCATGCCACAAATTCCCTTGCTCACTGCCTTGCAGCCACAGAAATTACAATAAAGTCATTTGTTACTTGCCCCTTTTCAGTTTTGTGACAATACCAAGGTCTTTCCCACCCCAGGGCCTTTGTACATGCTGCCCCCTCTGCCTGGAACGCTTTTTCTTCCGCTCTTCACAAGGCTGACTCCTCTCAGCCTTCAGGCTCTACCTCAAATGACACCTCCTCAGGGTGGCCTTTCCTGGCCTATGGTTCCCCATCTCTGCAGCCTGTTTGTTTTATAACCTTTGTTCTTACGTTCATTTCTCTAGCTGCTTATCTCCCTCACGAGACTGTAAACTCTATGAGAATGGAGCCCATGGCTGTTTTGTTCACCAGGGCATCCCTAGCCCCTGGCACTGTCAATAAATACTTGCTGAATGAACAAATGGAAACTTCCCTGACCCTGGAGGCTTCTTTCCTTCGCTTGTGCCCTCATCATGTTCTCCTTGCGTTACTTCGAATGGACCTGCTTTTTCTCCTGGGCTGGGGCTCCTGGCATCACTCTCCCTGGGCATCCCCTCACACCAGGCTGGCTTGGCCAGGCCCAGAGGAGGGGGCGGAGCACTTGTTTCATGACGAGCGAAGGAACAAATGGAAGCCGAAGCCGTCTTAGCATTGGTCTCAGGGAAACAACTGGGGACTCAGAGGGCTCAAGATGAGTCTTACCGCGCCTTTGCTTTTGACTCTTGGAAGGTGTTTGTTCTGCTTTGATTATTTCTGGGCGGAGGGGCTGTGCCTGACCCATGTGTCTGAGGAGAGCAGAGTGAGTCTCGGAGGTGTGAGAGAGAGTACGATCGCACAGCATGGTGGCTGAGGCGAGTGTGTAGCCCCAGGTCTGAAGGGCGTGACTGTGTGTGACGGGCGAGCCTGAGGGCTGGGTGTGCATGAGGGTGTGTGTGGGAGGTGTGGCTTCTGGGATGGGTGTGTGACAGTGTGAGGACTGTGAAGAGTGCCAAGGTGGGGCCATGCAGACCCACACTGGATTCTGAGCCTTCTTCCTTCACTGGCTGTGTGTCAGGCCCAAGACTCAGTTTCCTCATTAGTAAAATGGGGACACTAATCGTTCCCACCTGGGCTGAAACAGCCTCTGAGCCCAACACTGAGTCTGGGGCTGGGGTACTCTTTTCTGGGAAACTTTTCTGGGCAAAGGCAGGGCCTCCTAGAGAAACCAGCAGGTCCCCCAGGCCTGGGTTCCACGCCTAGCACGGGCTCCGACCTTGTGTGTGACCTCAGGTTGGCGATTCAGCCTTATCTGTTGAACGTGGCTGCTCGAATCCACGTCCTGGGGCTCTCGTGAGCACTGAATGAGTAATACACACACACACAGCACTGAGTACGGGGCCTGGCGGGTGTTAGGCGCACATTCAGTAAATGCTAGTCAGCTCCCAACAGGGCAGGCTGCTAGGCAAGGGCCAATGAATTAACCACATCCGGGGAGGACTAGAAAGTCCTTCATCCACATGTCGTGGTCCCCCCTGTGTCAGCGTAGGGCGTGGGAGGCCTCGCTGGGCAGCGGCTCCTCTGACTGACCCCAGGCTGGGTGTGAGGCTGTTTGCAGGATGCAACATCCACCCAGATCCTACTGAGCAGGTCCAGCCCCCCGGCAGAAAGTCACAATCTCTCTGCCCCAGGCCCAGCCCGAAGGCCGCCAGGACTGCATGTGTAAGAGGAACAGTACTAAGACTGAGTAGGGGCCAGGCCCGGCAGTGTGGAGGGCCCTCGAAGTCAAAGGACCTGGGGAAGTGCAGGCTTGAGACAGGAAGGGGGCTCGGAGGAGACCTTAGCATCACACCAGGTTCCAAGGGGCTTCTGTGCGGAAGACAGCGCAGGGCTGTCCAGGGAGCGGAGCCAAGGCCAGGGCAGAGCTCAGCGTTGCTTTGCTTTCCTCAGACTAGACCCCTAAGAGGACGTTTCACTGGTGCAGATGGCCCAGGGAGTGAATGGGGCCTGGGCACCTCTCCTAGAGCTTTGGGGCTTGGAGGGAGGAGACGCAAGCCTCCCTGAATCCTCTTGGCTGGTCCTTGCGCCCTGGGGTTACTCCTGGACATGGGACTTGGTGTCGCGTGGTTACTGTCACACCCCGCACAGCTGTGCCATCCTAAAAATAACCTGGAATCACTCTCTGGGTAAGGCTTAGAGACCAGAGTCCAACTATCTGAGGCAGGGGTCTCTGGCCTGTTTGGCTGGAGGAGAAATGTTCTAATACATCAGACAGAGACTGGGGCAGGGAGCAATGGCCCCTCTACTCCCCAGGCAGCCTGAGATGCTCCCGTCTGGCCCAACATCATGATTGAGGGTGGAAAGCAGGGACACTGAAGTTTTGCGGGGAAATCCTCCAGCTTGGTGAACTTTTATTTACCCTTTGATGCTGGTTCCGACAACACGTCCTCTGTGAAGTCTTCGGTGACTGCCTCCCTTCTGTGTCCCCACAGGCTGCATTCCCCTTTCTTTCAGAGTACCTGTCACATGGTTTTGCGCTGGCCTGCTCAAAGCCTGGACTGTAAATGCCTCCAGGATCGGGGCTCATCTGACTCATCTCTGTCTTTTTAGTGCCTGGCTTGGGTTTTAGCTCAGTACATGTTTACTGAACGAATGGGCAGGTTCAAGTCTAGGTTTCAGACGGCCTTACCCAGAGGGGTTATATAATGTCCCTGAGCCTCAATTTCTTTATTTGGGAAATGGGAATAATCATGCTAACTGCCTTGGATTGCAGTGCAGAATGAATGAGATGACATGTAAATTACTTAGCATAGTGTTCGAGTCACTGGAGATTCTCCATAAAAGATGGCCTCGGGGTTGGCCCACATGCTGGAAAAGCCTTTCTAGCATTGATATGTGAGCATATACTTCCCAGCTTTGTTTCCTTTCATGTCCCGCCTTAGTTCACAGAGGCTCTGGACTTGGCTGCAGGGCTGAGATTTTCCTCTCTGGTTCATACAGTGGAGCCCACCGGACCTGACCCCTCTGGGGGACATCATCAAGGCTTCGGGGCCTGAGGAGTGGTTGGGAGACAGGTGTCCTGGGCCTTCCTAAGCCAAGCCCTGACAACCGAACCACATGACCTGTGGCCCTGGCCCCACTCCCACCCACCCGCACCTTGGGGTAAATCTGGTACCTGAAGGCCCGGATGGTGGTGAGACCTTCCACAGTTTCAGCAAAGTGGGAGAGCAGGGGGAGCTGGGTGGTGTCATCCAGCTGCTGCAGGTCCCTGTGCAGGGGAGCAGAGTAGAATGGTCAAGAGGGCAGGCGCAGGGCTCGGCTCGGGTCTGAATCCTAGCTCCCCCCACAACCACTGCGTGCGCAAATGGCTTCACCTGTCCAGGTCTCAGTGTCTCCCCTGTAGAGAGGGAAGCCAGTGGTACCACCCCGCAAAATGCATAAACAGCCCGCCGGGGCAGGCCCTGTAACCCCGGGCACCGTCTACCTCACGAGTGTGGTAAGGCGGGGCATGTACGGTCGTTCTCTCTCACGGGGAACAACCTGAACCTTGCGACAGCTAGCGAAAGGAGCAGAAAGACCTCACGCAAAGCTTCCAGTCCCCTCCCCGGTAACCACAATAGGTTCAGGCACATCAAGGGCCAGTATCTACAGAGCTCCTTGAGGGGGACAGGCCAGAGGTTTCCATGGCAACAGGATTGCCCCTGCCCCCCACAGCGGCACCCTGACAAGCACATCAGTGCCAGGGAGGTCAGGCTGGGCTGCGGGAGGCAGCGTTCCCGGACAGACTGTCCCCGGGGCAGAGAGGATGCCAGGGGAACAGGGTGGTTTCCCTGGCAGAAGAAATGAAATTTGTAAAACAGCTTGTTCAGTGTTTAAAAAGTCACAGTGAGGGGCGCCTGGGTGGCTCAGTCGTTAAGCGTCTGCCTTTGGCTCAGGTCATGATCCCAGGGTCCTGGGATCGAGCCCCGCATCGGGCTCCCTGCTCTGCGGGAAGCCTTCTTCTCCCTCTCCCACTCCCCCTGCTTGTGTTCCTTCTCTCGCTGTGTCTTGCTGTCAAATAAATAAAATCTTTAAAAAAAAATAAAAAATAAATAAATAAAAAGTCACAGTGATTTGTGAACACTAACATGCTCCTTCTGGGTGCCAGGGGATTCTACACCATCCAGCATACGAACCTTGGTCCTCACGGGCAAGGTAATCGTGGTCAAAATGTATCTACATTTAATTGTTTTTATTGATAATCAGCATTTTGACTCCAGTTACTAATCAACTATGTGCACTTGGGAAAGGTACTTAACCTTTTGATTATAACCTGCAGTAAGAAATGCATTTTATACTACAAATCAGTGCACATGTGCACACCCCCTGCCCCAAACAAAGGTTTCATGAAGCAAAACTTACTGTTACTATGTGCATACAGTCTGATATGTTCTGTTCAATTTCATCTGATAAAAATGCTGGCTGTGATCTATGATATTGATTTCATGACCCACTGACAGGTTGCAATTGGCGGTTTGAAAAACACTGGTCTAGAGATTCTTTCAAATTTTCCTGACAATTATTTGGACCTATGAGTTTAGCAGAATCACTCCCAGAAAGAACTTCTAGAGAACGTTCTTAGAAAATTTTGAGTAGGAAAGAAGCCTGTGTGACTCGAAGGCTCCCGAGGGCAAATGTGATCACTGTGAAAGGCTCCCTCAAGTCGAGGCTCCCAGGCACACTCTGGCCCCCGTGGGCTGGGACGTAGGGTTGCCATAACCCCCCTGCCATCAGGGGCTCTCGATTTCGTGCATCAGCAATCAGCCTGGTCACTGGACTCCTCCTGAGAAGCAACCCTCCTGAGAAGCATTTTGGCAAAATGAATGAAGGGCATAAAGGTATGTATACACCCCGACCTAGCAATTCTACTCCTGACTCTATCTCCTAAGGAAATAGTTCTGATATTAACGGCAGGGTGTGTGTGTGTGTGTGTGTGTGTGTGTTTGTGTGTGTGTGCTGACAGATGGTTACATCAGGGTGGTGGAAGATGAATAATATCTCCCCTTCCTTCATTTCTATTTTCCTTTTCAGGGGCAATAGGACTCTACTACTTTTTGATGATTACTCTAGTAAGAGTACCCAGCTGCCCATTGCAAAGCATCTCCCCGCCCCCTGAGGCTGGCAAAGGCTGCCATCACCTGGACGCCACCCGGAAGTACTTCTGGATGAAGTAGCAGACCACGGCCAGGGGAAAGAGGGCCACGAGGAACACAGGCGTGACATAGGAGATGACGGCCAGGGCTGAGACGCAGAGCAGGGTGGAGCGGCTCAAGCACTCCAGCGTGGATGGGATGTGCTGACGGAGGGGAGGGTGAGAGAGGGAGGTGAGTTTTGGTGTTTATCTTCAGTGTGTTACCTGCCACCATGTTTTGCTCTCTCACATTCTTACAGGCACATGTCTCGTCTCTCCAGCTACACTGTAGGCTCCCTGAGAGCGGGAATCAGGACTTTGCTTCCTCACCATCTAGTACGATGGTAAACCGAGAACACAAGCTGAATTGAAAGGAATGTTCTCCACAGAATCAGCCACCTTGGTTCAGACTATGCTGGAACCTTACTGGAGTGAGCCAGGGGGTATTGGATGGAAGCCAAAGGGATGTGGTTTCCCTCAGTCTTATCATGACAGTTTCACAGGGGCAGCCCCAGGCCCTGAGATAGCATTGTAATCAGATTGGGGCCCACTGGGTTCGTCCCCCGGGGCTCTGAGCACCAAATCTGGGGAAGCCAGCACCAGAGAGGAAAAGCGTGGGGGTCTGGCCTCTCTCTGAACTGGGGAAATGGGTCACAGTCCTGTGTACCTGGTCGATGGTGTTACAGTCAGCTGAAAATCTATTCAGGATGCTTCCAAGGGGCGTGGTCTCAAAAAACCTAAGAGGCAACCAGAACAGTTACTCATCCATTTATTGATTTCCTTCCTGTTTATTGAATGAGGGTAGTTCTTTCATTTTAGTGTCTTTGGGGTCATCTCTGGGTCTGGCTGCCTAGGGGTGGTTGCCTTTGCAAGTCTGTAGCTATCTGGCCTGTGTCCCTGAGAATTCCTGCAGCTGCCCAAAGGGGTGCTGGCCCCTCACTAACCTCTCTGGCTCTCAAGCCCATATATGACCACCACCACCTTCCTCAGCTGTTTGATCTGCCTGACTCACTCAGCAGCTCACTCCAGGGACATCGAGTCTTCTCCAGGGCGAACAGGGCCCTGGGGATGGGTTGTCAGCTGGCTGACCCTGCGAGGCTACTCGGGCTGTCATCACTCTGGCTCTGAACCAGAACCAGCCCAACCCTAACCAGAGGGTTTCGGAAGCTCAGCCCGGGGACAAATAGAGGGTAAGTAAATGTTGAGGTCATGTCTGTGGGCCACAGAGAGCTCATGAGGCTGAAAAGTAAAAAGTGTAGTCAGATGGTGAGGCCTGGCATTGACAAGGGGCCAGACCACCTGTTTGCCCATCGTGCTTTAAAACTGAGTCAGCCAGTCGACTGGGCAGTGACCACCTTAGATCTGTTTCACACCAAGTGGCCTTTGGGATTTTTATCCATCCCCTTCCAGGAGATTAAAACATGTCCCCGTGTGCCCAGTGTCAGAACCTGCAGGCTGGCTGAGGGAGGAGGGGCAGAGCGGAGACGGGCAGACATTACCTGCCTGAGGAAGGGAAACTTACATTTACACAGAGCCTGCGGACACTCACTTTGAAGGGCTGTGTGACAATTAGATGAGCAAACCATATAAAATGCCTAGCACCATGTGTGGCTGAGTAAATGATGGTTTTCCTCTGCCTTCTGCCCCGAGGAGGACATTTTTACACACACTGCCTCCTTGAGCCACCCCCCCCCCGCCCCTGCCACCTCAGCCTGTGACAGAGGTTGCATATCTCCATTTTACAGGTGGCAGAACTAAGGCCCAGAGAACAGCAACTTGCCCACAGCCCCAGCATGGCCGGGGGAGAGGGGTACCTCATGGGAGCCAGGATGATCCGGTTCAGCAGGCTGCGGTGCAACCTTTTGGCCACCTTCAGCCCCGTCCACTCTACCGTGACGGACGTGACAAGGCACAATACGATGCCCAGGCTGCAGAGCACCGTGAATACCATGGCATAGACAGTCTGGTCGAGGGTGCACTCCTGGGCCGGGCAGAGAATGATGCAGGGTCCTGGGGGTGTCCGGGGCTCAGCCCTCTCCCCCCACCCTCCCCCCAGCCCCTGCCTGGGGCCGTCGGCCACACCTGGCTGAGTGAGCAGTTCCTGGCCGCGGGGCTTGGGGTCAGGGCGCTGTCAGTCCACTTGGCCAGCCAGTAGTCAATGGCCACCAAGACCATGTGCTTGAGCAGCTGGGAGAAGACGAGCAGTGACAGGAGCAAGATGCCGGCAGATGACAAATACTTGGTGTAGGCTCGCCACGGGATCTTGGCCCGCTGGTGCAGCACTGAAGACAGGTTGTCCTCCTCCTCGCTCTCAGCTGCCTCCTCTGCAGGCCGCAAGAACCCACCCTGTGGCTTCCCATTCACCCTCCCTCTGAGGGTGAACCGGGGGGCATGTTATCCCCACTTAACAGATGGGAAAACCGAGGCACACAGAGGGCAAGGGATTTAATGAAAGTCACACTATCTCAGGACCCCCAGAACCCCGAAACTTTGTCTCCCCATGGTCTGCCAGACCTCAGGCCATGATCTCACTGTTAGTTCCACAGTCTGTACCTTCCTCCTCTTCCTCATCCTGCAGGAGGCCGTCTCTTGAGGACATGGCCCGGGGCAGGCCCTGAGATGGCTCTGTGGCTTTTCTCTCCATGACAGTCTCCTGAAAGACAGATGAACCCCGGCCACTGTCCTCAGAGTGTGCAGAGGGAAGAAGGGAGGGTGGAGGGCAGCCACCCCTGGCAATGACTGGTGTCAGGTTTCCAGGGTGCCCCCACCTGGGGGAGAGTCCAGATGGACACAAGTTTGTCATGCCAGAATTTACTTCTCCCCATTTGTCGGTTAACGACAATGGTCTTCCTGTGGGAGACCATCTCTCCCCTATTCTTAGTCTCTGTGACTCAGGTGGGCTGATCATTCTCCTTGGCTCCGGGGGTGGGCACGAGATCCAGGGCTGGCCAATCTCACATTCCACAATGATTTATTCAGGGTGGGCACAGGACCAAAGTGGACAAAGGAGAGTTAACCTGGGGATTTCTGCTGAACTGTTGTGACAGAGATACTCTCTTGCTGGTAGAGGTGTTGAGCTGGGAGAATGTAAGCTCGAGGCTGCTGATCAAGCTCTCTCCACCACCACAAGAATGAGGCTGGTCTGAGGGGAGCAGAGCCAATGAGGGAGAGAAACAGGTTCCTGAAGACAGTGTTTAACTACCTGGATCCAGCTCTACCTGAAGCTGATCCTTTTTACTTTCATGAGCCAAAAAGTCCTTACCTCTCCCCTTTTCTGCTTCGCCAGTTTGAGTTGATTCTCTGAAGCTTTATAACTAAATGGATTCTGACTATTTCAGGATAAGGGGAAGGTGTCCACCTGAGTCTGCCCTGAGTACCTGGCACAAGTGCTGGCCCTCCTCTGCAAGGAGGAAGTTCACGCTCAGCTCCCACATCTGTCCTTTGAGGGGCTTCCTAGGGCAAGGAGGGCAGGAAGGCCTTTGTGTGTTCAGGATTCTAACAGAAACTTCTCCTCACAGGGTGGCTGCCTGGCCCTTAGGACATACTCACCTTCTCCAGCTCTTGGTCCTGCCGGTTCATGAGGGTCTTCCAGTGCTCAAAGAGCTGGCACTCAGACCTCTGGAAATCCTTGAGCGTACCCTCCCTCTGGATGGTGCCATCCTTCATGGCAATGATCTGGAAAGGCAGAAACAGACCCAGCCCCGGGGCTGAACGGGAAGGGGGTGTGGCGGTCACACCCCCACCTCGGCAAGGGCTCTGAGATGGACTGGCACACATCCTCTTCCCCACCACAACTGGCCGCTGGCCTCCCCGCTGCAGTCCTTACCGACACACTCCCAGGATCTAGAGGTCGGTACTTTTGGGGGGTAATTCTCAGGGGTTGCCCCAGGGTTGCTAAGAGGGTTTGCAGAGCAAATTGGTGGATCCTGGCCAAGCGGTCTGATTCCTTGCTAGGATCCCATCAGGGGCAGCTGTTTTTACACACTCAACAGCTAATTGCACGCAACTTCCAGCTGCCCTGACCACAGGTCTGGTAGGTTCCACCAGTGGTTAACAAAGTACCTATTGGTCTAAGTGTGTGTGGCGTGGCCATGCCTCTCTGAAATCAATAAAACTGATTTTATTTGAAACACTCAATGTTTCCCACTCATAGACTCTTGTCATTAATTCAGAGACCCTCCCCTGCTCCTTCACCCCCACCCAGCCCGTGATGGGGTGTAGGGAGGGATGCCTGGGAGTCTTGCTCTCTGACATTCCAAGGAACCAGTCATGCCTTTGTCTGCCCTCTTAAGACTAACGATTGTCCCGAACTGCCCTGCCAAGGTCACCATGGAAACTCAGTCGCAGACCTTCTGCCCCTGTTGTAAATTTCTTAAAAAATACAGATTTTTTTCTTTTTTCATAGTAGAAGGAGGATTTTACCACATGTAGAAGGAAGACTTAGGCCCATTTAGCACAGGCCTGAAGCTCAATTTTCAGGGACAAATTTGTATAGGAGTCTGGCAAGGCCCAGATTTTAAAAGTCACATGATTTCCATCTTAAAGATTAAATGCTTTCCAATTAACTGAAAAGTAGCTGTTGTCTACATATTGAGGAGTACAGAAATTTGGTTAATGTGGGGTTTCACAAAATTGCATTCTATTGATAATATTGAAGTTTCCATTACTACTTGTATTGTTTGTTGCCATGTTTTCCAGCTGATCTTGACTTAAATGCATCGGACCCTCGGTGGGTTAGAGGGTGGGGAGATGGCTCTCCCATCCAAAGAGGCAGCCCCAAGGCCAGGGGGATGAGTCATCAAACTGGGCCATAAACAGAAGGTAGGAATTGAGTGTCTGCTTCTTTCCGAGACTTCTTGGTGCCAGGCTTGCGTGTACGCACAGGGGCCCCAGGTGAGGATGGGAACGTGTGCAGCTATCGTGATACCAAACCCCTGGCCTGTGCAGGATCTGCCTGAGCTACCCAGCCTGCATGAAGCCTGTCAGTGTGGATCTCTTCTGCCCTCAGCAGTTGCTACTGAGACACTGACTCCTTTGCCTCTCCCACCTCTCCTGCTGCCTCTCCCACTCAGCCTTCCAAAGCTTCACCTCCTGTGGCCCCTCACCCAATCTGCATGTGGCAGGTACTGGAGCTTGTGGGTCACTAGGACCACTGTCCTCTTGTCATCCTGGAGCAGCTCAAGGATCCCGGCCTGCATCAGGTGATCACTCAGATGGACATCCAGAGCTGAGAAGGGGTCATCCTGGGCAGAGGAGAGAAGGTGGGGGCAAGGGTGGGAGAAGGGGGTAACAGTGAGAATAAAAACCATCAGAGTTATACCAGCTCTGGTCCAGGGACTGACACTAGTTAGCTGTATGGCCTTGGACAATGTATTTAACCTCTCTGGGCTTTAGACGCCTCATCTTAAAATGCAGCTGTTATCAGTGATTGCTCTCAAACAGATTTAATCACAGGTACTTCCTGACTCCTGAACCTTCAATAGCTCCCCATTGCCTATGAAGTCCGAATTCCTTAGTATGGTAAGCTAGGCCCTCCATTACCTGCCCAGTCTGTCTGGTCTCACTTCTCTTTCCTGTCCAAGCTCCCTGTAACTCCAGCTTTCTAGAGAACTTGCCACTCCAAGGTTTTTACCTATGCTTTTCCCTCTGCCCAAAGTGCCATTTTGCCTTTTGTCTGCCTGGTGAACATCCACTCATCCTTCAGTGCTCTATGTGTCCTCTCTTGACTTCCATGCCTAGCTTTCCCTCCTCTCAATTCCAGTTGTGATGGTTATTTGTCCACTCCTGTGAGATTCCCAGGAACTCACACCCCTTGCGCCCATGCCAGGTAGAGTAGGAGCTTAATACAACTTTGCTGAAATAAACGAAAATAACCACTTTACTTCTTTTTTTTTAAAAGATTATTTATTTATTTATTTGAGAGAGAGAATGAGATAGAGAGAGAGAGCACGAGCAGGGGGAGGGTCAGAGGGAGAAGCAGACCCCCCGCTGATCAGGGAGCCCGACGCGGGACTTGATCCCGGGACTCCAGGCTCATGACCTGAGCCGAAGGCAGTCGCTTAACCAACTGAGCCACCCAGGCGCCCCAAAACCACTTTACTTCTAACAAGGTTGTTTAAAGCTCATATGAGACCATGAATAAGCTAATACTTTGTAAAGTGCTATGTCAGATGGTAACAAAGACTATGAACGTTTACATTTTGAAGTGTGTTTAGTGGGGAGCATTTATGTGTATGGGGCGCCGGGGGGGTGGGGGAAGAATATAACCAGGTTCAGAGACCTGAGGTTCCTTCTTCTGACTTCCTACCCAAATGGCCTTCCTCTTTCCTTCGGTTTAACTGACTCACTTTTCAAGGTCCTCCTCCAGGAAGCTCTCCCTGATTATTCTAGCTCTCCCCATTGTCTCCTTGGGCAAGGCTCCTCATAGACCGTGCCACACAGTTTGGCTTTCAACTGGGCTGTGGCTCTGTCTCTCTAGCTAGACTCTACATCTCTGAGGCCGAGGATTGGCTCTCAGAATTCTTCAGTGTCAACCAAAGCACCTAACACAGAACTTGGCCTGAACTATGGCAGGGAGAGCTAATAATGTGATCTCATGTTTGACTGCTAAAGGTTATCTGGAGTGCTGTGTTGAGAAGGATTCTGAAGCCAAGTTAATTTTCCCACAGAAACTTAATGTGGGGTTTCACAGAATTGCTTTCATTGATAATGCTGAATTTTCTATTACTACTGCTGTGATCAATTAGCAATGTCTGCTCTGGGCATGGGATGGGCGGTGGCAGCAGACATTCCATGAATTATAGTGGGGCTAAGTGTTGATAGCTTGGGGCTGTCCAGCAGGCAGGCGGCCTGTAACTCCTACGCATCTCCCCTTATGGCTACTGCAGAGTTCAGTGTGAAGTCCACAGTGGGTCATTTGCACTATCCTTGCCTCAGTTTCCCCACCAATGATTAGGTAATATCTCTGGCAGGAGAGGCTTACTCCCTGAGAGGGAGGTTGGTGTGTGTGTGTGTGTGTGTGTGTGTGTGTGTACAGGCAATGAGTCAGGGGGGGCCTCAAGGGGGACACCAGCTAATGCCACTCACCAAGAAGACAACGTTGGTGTGCTGGTACAGGGCTCGGGCCACACTGATGCGCTGGCGTTGACCACCAGATAGATTGATGCCCTGTGACCAAAGGAGAGGAAAGGTCATGCCCTCAGAGCCCCTCAGCAAGGACTGTCCTGGCCCTTACTTGACTGTGAGCTCTCTGAGATGGAGGTCTGGCTCTATCCACCTCTTTGCCCCCTTCTCATCTTGAAGAGAGGAGGAACTTGTACACGTCTACTAAATGCATTCAGAAGTGGGGAGCAGGATCCCCACGTCTTTGAAGATTCATCATGTAGGTGCTAGGGACCATCTGACTGGTGACAACTAAGACACAGAAAGGAGGGATTTAAATCATACATGAGGAGGACAGTCGTGGGAGCATCCTATTTGCCTAAGCTTATGGAGGAGGGGCCCCACCTGGCCAGGGTACCTGAAGGAGATAACCCCGGGCCTACCGCAGTATCACGTGGGCCTTAGTATATATGCGGGGCATGAATGAAGGAGATGCCAAGTCATCTCCAGCCCAGCGAGGCGCGAGTTGCAAACCTGTCGAGGATAGCCAGCCGCCCAGGGCTCGGGATCATTTTGACTTCACTGCAGGATGCTCTTCCACCTTTACCTTCTCTTATTTTCCAGTCACCTGCTCTCCCTGAGAATGATCTCCGGGCATGCTGGGGGTCAGGGGAGATTGAGGGCCCCTGCTTTGAAAAAACCCCATAGAGGCTGCTACTAACCCGTTCCCCAATCTGAGTCTGGTCTCCATGGGGCAGGATATCGATGTCCGGCTGCAGGGAGCAGGCTTCGATGACCATTTTGTACCTGGAGTGGTGGGGCGGGGAGGGGGTGGGAGGGGCAGACACAGCTGATCAGCCTGGCCAGAGTCGGGCCTGAGCACATGCAGAGGGTCATTAGCTTCTGGGCAGCTGTGCTCAGGGGGGTCAATGGCTTTAATGGCCTCCTGCCCGGCTGCAGGCAAACACCACGTGAGCTTCAAAAGAGCTGAGGGCAGCACCTCACAGAGTCTTGGGGCCAGTTAAATATTTGAAGGATGAAATTGGACAGTAGCATTTATGCCATGTAAGTGACAAAAGGGAGCCCCAGGCCCCCGTGCAGTGGGAGAAACTGTGGCCAGAGCCCACCCTGGGGGCACTGCCAGGGAAAATCACTGCCGGTTGGCCTCAGCAGTAATGATGATGGCTGATCAAATATTTGCCCAGCCTGCTCCTCTTATACTTCCCCGACCAGCTCTTAGCTTGGGCAGGGGCCAGCCAGCGTGCATGGAGGCATCAGAGTGTCTTGGTGACAAGTAATTGGGTGTCAGGCAGCCTTGGATTTGAGACTCATTTCTCTCACTTATTGGCTGGGTGGCCTTGGGCAAGTTACCTAACCTTTCTGAGCCTTGGTTTCCTCCTTTGTAGGATGGGGCTAATAATAGTAGCTGCCTCCTGGGGTGGTTGTGAGCATTAGAGGAAACCACGCATATAGAGCGGGATGCTGCACTTGGCACCTCGGAGCTCAATTGATGGTAGCGATTATTATTATCATTGGAGGGAAAATAGCGCATGAGCTGCAGAGCTGGGCGTAGGGAATAATGGGGAGCTGGGTCAGCCTTCCCCTTAGCTTCAAGAGAAGGCACCAAGGCTTCCACCCAATGACCCCCACCCTTTCTGCCCTCATACCCACAGGAGCTGGACTGCCTCAATGCCCAGGCACATCTGGATCATTTCCAGGTGTGCCATATGGAACAGGCTGGAATCCAGATAAGCATCCTGGAGAGCAGAATGGCTGGGTGTGGGGTGATCGATGGAGGGACAGGGCAGCCGGCTGGGGCTCAGGTACTGGGGAGGGCTGGCTAATGCTGCCCTTGACCAGTTTCTCCCCTCCCCCAGGCTGTCTTCCTCTGAGAGGCTTTTACCGTTGTTTGTTGAAGGGACTCTCAAAGGTGATGTTCTCCTCCACGGTGGCATTCAGCAGCCATGGTTTCTGAGAAGCATAGGCCACGGGGCCTCTCTTCCTGGAATGAAGCAGGTGGGAGTAGGGGCGCCCTTCTCAGGGGCAGTTGTCAAGCAGAGGGTTTAGACCGGGGAGGCGCACTTGGCAGAAATCTGCTTTCTGTGGCCCCTGGTGGCCTAGGGCCGGCTTGGTGCCCAGGTCTTCAACCCTGCCCTGCCCTGCAACCGACCTGTCCCACCCCTGTCATCTGTTCTTCCTGAATCTGTACCCAGAACTGGAAGGAGCCCAGAATGTGACCAAACCAAGTAAACCCTCAACCCCTAATTTCCTGCTTCCCTGAGTGGCCCTCAAACCACTTGCTTTTGATATTAACAGGTAATTTTCCAAGTGGAACTTCTTTAAAATAAGCAGAGCCAAGGACACCACATTTAGTGTGGTAAGGTTTTCGAAGACCAAAAACAAGGTGGTGGGGGGAGGAGCAGAAAAAAACGATCTGGTGTGAAGGGAGCAGCTTGGTGCTCAGAAGCAGTGGAGGCCTCTGAACCATCTGATGGAGTACAGAACCCCCCTGGGCCTCTTCCCTGCCACTGGGCTGGGCGATGAGGGGGGGCTGCCTTCGAGAGTTCCATGGCCCTGGGGCCTGAGAGCCCCTCTGAGGAAGCCTGCCCATAGGGCAGGTGATCCCGGGCACGGTACCTGACGTCCGAGTCGGCCACTGGCTCCCGCTCTGGGCTGCAGCAGGAAGAAAAGACACAACTTCAGGGCTCCCATACATGCAC